GAGAAGGAGAGAAGGATAGAAGAAGGAGGAAGGGAGAAAGACTATAAGGAGAAGGAGAAAGAGAAGGAGAGAAGGAGAAGGAGGAGAATATAAGGAGGAGAAGGAGGAGTATAAGGAGAAGAAGACGACTATAGAAGGTCACTGAAAGAATTCTCTTCGGATTGAAAACTGTACCATCAGGAAGGAAAAAAAAGAACAACAACCCAGATAGCCGTCTCGTCTCATGATGCAGGCAAGAGACCTCGAATGCATCATTAAATTGGCCAATTGATTGCTCAGAACTTCCGTCATTATCGCACAAAGAAACTGGTTGGTTTTTTTTGACTTCGGCATCTCTCCAGCTTCAAGATCATCCTACTGGAATTTAAAAGTACATTACAACGTCCCCGCGAAAAAGACCGGCTTCCTAGAAAGGGACTCCGGGAGGAGAGTCACAAGGATGCCCAAGTTTTGTTTCCAATTCCCCCCCCCCTTCCTTCTCCTTGCTGCCTATCTGCAGGCAGCCAAGTCCAAAACTGGAAAACCAAGAGACCCTTCCAAGCTTTCCCCCCCCCTCCCAAAAAAGGGGAGGGGGACTGTCCTCTTTGGCTTTGCAGTTAAATTCAGGAGGGGAAAACCGCTCCGTGGAACCGGGGCTCTGCTTTTTCAAACTCTTTCCAGATGTTCACGGCTGCCCTCTGAACAGGGCTCCTGACCAAGGGCACGGCGGCGGTTCCTCTCCCCAAATAGAAAATCTGCATCATGGGGCGAATATTTCCCTGCTCGCCCAGGCTCTGGAAGATGCTTCAGGGGTGCTGGGAAGCCTCTGCCTGCTTTGGGGCCGATGTTTATTTTTCAGTGGGAGCAAAGCAACCCTCGGCTGACCTCCGCCTCCCCAGCGCTTTCGCATTCCAAAGGCTCCGCAGATGTCACCGGCATTTTATTTTTAGCTTCTGTGGAGCTTCCCTTCCATGCCTTGGGGCAGTTTTGGGGCTGGGCCAAGTGTGGTCCTCTCTGGCAGCCGTTTGTGCAAAGGAGGGAGCAGGGACCGAACTGGGGAGGGGGGGAAAGGGGTGGTTGAAAAGGGAGGAGGGGGGGAGAAGAGCTTGAAAAATAGGCCAAGGAGGCAGAAAGGAAAAAAAAAAGGAAAATGGCATATTTAAATAAGAGTGCAGAAAAAAGAGCAGCCGAAGATGTTCAGGGGGCTGGAGGCTAAAACACACAGAGAACGGTTGCGGGAATTGGGTGTTTTTAGTATAAGAAAGGGGGAAGGGAAGGGAAGGGAAGGGAAGGGAAGGAAAGGGAAGGAAGATAGAAAAAAAGGAAAGGAAAGGGAGATAGAAAAAAAGGAAAGGAAAGAAAGATAGAAAAAAGGAAAGGAAAGAAAAGGAAAAGAAAGGAAAAGGAGATAGAAAAAAGGAAAGGAAAGGAAAGGAAAGAGAGATAGAAAAAAGGAAAGGAAAGGAAAGGAAAGGAAAAGAAAGGAAGATAGAAAAAAGGAAAGGAAAGGAAAGAGAGATAGAAAAAAGGAAAAGAAAGGAAAGAAAGATAGAAAAAAGATAATGAAAGAAAAGGAAAAGAAAGGAAAAGGAGATAGAAAAAAGGAAAGGAAAGGAAAGGAAAGAGATAGAAAAAAGGAAAGGAAAGAGAGATAGAAAAAAGGAAAAGAAAGGAAAGAAAGATAGAAAAAAGATAATGAAAGAAAAGGAAAAGAAAGGAAAAGGAGATAGAAAAAAGGAAAGGAAAGGAAAGGAAAGAGATAGAAAAAAGGAAAGGAAAGGACAGGAAAGAAAGAAAAAAGGAAAGGAAAGGAAAGGGAGATAGAAAAAAGGAAAGGAAAGGACAGGAAAGAAAGAAAAAAGGAAAGGAAAGGAAAGGAAAAGAAAGAAAAGGGAGATAGAAAAGAGGAAAGGAAAGGAAAGGAGAGAAAAGAGAGATAGAAAAAAGGAAAGGAAAGGAAGATAGAAAAAAAGAAAGGAAAGGGAAAGGAGATAGAAAAAAGAAATGGAAAGGAAAGGAAAGGAAAGGAAAGAAAAGGAAGGAAGGAAGGAAGGAAGGAAGGAAGGAATCAAATCAAATAGATGCCTGCCCACCTTTGTCCACAGAAATTTATTACAAACCTACTACTTGTATCCTGCACGCTAAGATAGCATCGCAAACTCCTCTTATCATTCCTTATCCGATCGTTTCCTAATTTTAAGATCTCTTTTTTTTCAGGTCAGACCTTCACAACGAACGGAGACGGGCACAAGGACGGGCTACGGCACCGGGGGAGGCCGTGACAACCGTGGAGGGGGGAATTCCTGCTCTCGCTCATCCTCTCAGAGGAATCGGCCTCCCCTTGGACTTACCTGCTCTTCGTGTAGGACTACTTGACCTCGGAGGGGACCGCCCAGGGGGGCCAGTCGGACAAAGGGTTGCCACATGCCCCGGAGTGTCCGTGGGAAGAGGTCGTAGAGGTCCACGTAGTGTCCGGTTTTACTCGATACATTCATAAAATACAAGGAGACGGGATTGCAGGTGGCCACGTAAAGGGAGGTTTCGCCTTCGTGCTCTTGAGCGGGACGGGCCAGAAATAAAAGAGACAAGTTGTGAGTTCAAGATTTCCCTGCGATCAAAGCATCCCTGTAATAATCAGAGGTCACTATTTCCCTGACAAGGAGGCCCGTGTCATCTGTCACTCGAGATTCACCCGCATGTCAGAATAGACAAGCGCCACGAAACATCCCTCATTTCTTCTTTTGAGTCCTTGAGTTACGAACACAATTGAGCCCCAGTTTATATTCTACAGTGAGTTGATATACTATGTTCTATTCTAGAATATAAACTGACAGCAAGCCACACTCCTTACTAGCTCTGATGATGTTCCCTAGTTGGGTCATGAAACGTCTGCAAGAAAACCACCAAGCTCAGAGAGCACCAAGGACCCCACAGTCCTCCTCCTCCTCCTCCTCCTCCACTTCCTCCTTTTCTTCTTCTCTGCAAACCCCACACCCTTCTACCACTGATGATGTTGCCTAGTTGGATCATGAAACGCCTGCAAGAAAACCACCAAGCTCAGAGAGCACCAAGGACCCCACAGTTGTCCTCCTCCTCCTCCTCCTCCTCCTCTTCCTCCTCCTCCTCCTCCTTCTCTGCAAACCCCACTCCTTCTAGCACTGATGATATTCCCTAGTTGGGTCATGAAACGCCTGCAAGAAAACCCACGGACTCTTCATTTCAACCCTGAGCTACAAATTTTCTCCTTTACTGTTGTCACTTGGTAAGTCACGAGCCTGGCCAGCCACCCCATTTGGCCATGGTTGAAATTTTCAGCATTCATGCAAGCCACATTCTGGCCTCAGCTGAATTGCAGCAATTTAAAAGGGGGAGTCCTCCATTTCTGGAAAGTGAATACTATCCTAAACTAGAACAGATATGCAAAACTATCTTTTCCACCAGAGGATCGGCTCAATGCCGGTTTAATGCTCATTACCACATTTTTGACAAGTGTCTGGAAGACTCCTTGTGGATGGGAGGCAGTTATGATTGATCCTCTGGGTGATTCTCTCTAACTAGGGAGAGGATTAGTCACACAGCAGGAGCGTAGGGGACTAAATAAGGATTATTCTGCAGGATGTTTGCCCTACACAGTTAACTATTCAAAGAGGGAAGTTATGTGCTGTTAAGAGTTGTGCTTAATGGGCAACCACATCAGAGAGAAAGCGTGCAAAACCACAGTCTTAACTGGCGAGCAAAATAATTCATACTCATATCCGTTTAGATTACTGGCGCGGCTTCTCAAGCATTACTTATTCACCGAGAAATAAAGCGCATACTCTACCTTGTGAGGCCACATCACAGACTAAGTTAACCTGGTTCAGAGGCAGGGTCCAGAATGCTAGCTCTTCGGTGAAACTCAAGGCTCTGCCTTCGTGTCTCTCCAGAGGGAAGGCCTGCACGTTTAAATAGATCGGACCCTAAAAGAAATGGAAAACCAAGAGTCCTGAAACCCACAACTGGGACACACACTTTCTTGTCCGTTTGCATCCCGACGAAACAAAACAAGCTTCCTAACAAATCTTGCAAAGCGGGCTGGGTGAAGCAAGGTAACTACAGGAGGCAAGATAACCTAGAACTAAGGAGAAATTTCCCGGCAGGGAGAACAATTCACCAGTGGAACGACTTGCCACCAGAAGATGTGGGTGCTCCAACCCCGGAGGTTTTTAAGAAGAGACCAGGACAGCCTATTTGTCTGAAATGGTGTAGGGTTTCCTGCCTGAGCAAGGGTTGGTCTAGATGACTTCCGGGGTCCCTTCCGAGTCTGTTATTCTTTTCCTTCCTTCCTTCCTTCCTTCCTTCCTTCCTTCCTTCCTTCTTTCCTTCCTTCCTTTCCTCCTTCCCTCCCTCCTTTCTCCAACACTGGAGGTTTTTAAGAAGAGACTAGGACAGCCATTTGTCTGAGATGGTACTGTGTTTCCTGCCTGAGCAGTGGGTTGGTCTAGATGACCTCCAAGGTCCCTTCCAAGTCTGTTATTCTATTATTCTTTTCCTTCCTTCCTTCCTTCTTTCCCTCCCTCCTTTCTCCAACACTGGAGGTTTTTAAGAAGAGACTAGGACAGCCATTTGTCTGAAATGGTATAGGGTTTCCTGCCTGAGCAGGGGGTTGGACTAGATGACCTCCAAAGCCCCTTCCAACATTATTATTATTATTAATAAGGGGATCAGGTGACCCCGGGACAGTGTAATTGTCATATATACGTGTCAGTTTCCAAGCGCCCGAATTTTAATCATGTGATCGTGGGGAGGCTGCAACGGTCGTTAAGTGTGTGAAAAACGGTCGTAAGACATTTTCTTCGGTGCTGTAGTAACTTGGAATGGTCACTAAATGGACTGTTGTAAAGCGAGGACTACCTGTGCTGCTGAGTTCTGCCTATAGGACCAGTTGGTGCATTCAGCTGTTGAAGGAGCTAATGCGGAATTGAAAGCTATTTGGAACACAAAATTCAGGCAGGAGATGAAACGACAATGTGGGTGTAAAACACTTGTGCGAAAGGGTTGAAATAATAATAATAATAATAATAAAAAAGTTGGAATGGACCTTGGAGGTCATCTAGTCCAACCCCCTGCTCAGGCAGGAAACCCTACACCATTTCAGACAAACGGCTGTCTTCTTAAAAACTTCCAGTGTTGGAGCATTCACTACTTCTGGAGGCAGGTGGTTCCACTGGTTAATTGTTCTCACTGTCAGGAAGTTTCTCCTTAGTTCCAGGTTGCTTCTCTCCTTGATGAGTTTCCACCCGTTGCTTCTTGTCCTGCCTTCAGGTGCTTTGGAGAATAGCTTGACTCCCTCTTCTTTGGGGCAGCCCCTGAGATACTGGAATGCTGCTATCATTTTATTTATTTATTTATTTTATTTTTTAATTTGTATACCGCCCTTCTCCCATAGGACTCAGGGCGGTTCACAGCATATTTAAAAAACAAATACTATACATAAAAATAAAATACAAAAAATACAACAATATAAACCCCAATAAAACCGAATTAAAAACCAAATATTGACAGCTGTGTTTCCAATTAAAATGCTTCTAAAATCATCCCTAAGTAAAATCCTCCCTAGGTCAGGCCCGCTTGCTGGAAAAGCCATGTCTTGAGGGCGCGGCGGAAAGTAAGGAGATCCGGAATCATCCGGATCTCGGGGGGCAGTTCGTTCCAGAGGGTGGGGGCACCCACAGAGAAGGCCCTCCCCCTGGGGGTCGCCAGCCGACATTGCTTGGCCGACGGCACCCTGAGGAGACCCACTC